GGTCTACCTCTATCTACACCTTAGTACAGCTCTCAGCTTTTTTGTTCTTCTCTGCAATCCCTTTTGAAACTATGTCGTTCAAAGACAGAAACAAAACTGACGCACAGAAGTACATGGTGCAATGGTTATATAAACTGCATCCGATAAAGTGTGCACCTGGGACAGAATGCCATCCAAATAAGAGATGGTGCCAGTGGCAATATCCAGTATAAGAACAAGTCGACATCGATTCAACGTGCCTGAAGTACAGCAGTCATGATTCCACGGGGAGCATTGAGCTCCAGGTCGAAGTTTACAGACCGGTGTGCAACAGGCGTTGTTCACCGCCGCACCGGCATCACACTCTTCGCCCGGATCTAGTCGCCGATTCCCACAGCGACCCAACGTAGCCTCGGAAGAGCTGACGAAACATATGGGTGCTCGCACGGCGAGAGTGGCGCCAATCGTGCGCAAACTGCACGGGGAGAATTTCTGTGAAAAAAACAGCAGAAACATGACATTGTAGTTAAAGGGTAAAGAGTAGGACTCAAATCAAAGAATCAGAAATAAAAATAAATCCTAGGAACATTATTTAATTATTAGGAATTCGGAATTATTCCTTATTAAATCAGTTTCAGTTCCTTCAACCGTTATACCACGCACTTTCCTGAACCCGTACAGACTACTATCTTTTGCTTAACCTGGCTGGAGATCATGGTCATGAATGCGCACCAGGGGCCGGACCAACTTGCTTTTGTAACAAAAATCAGAACTGTATTGGTGAAACTCAAATGCATACACAACCAAAAATAATTCCATACTGCATCGGTTGTCGCGCAGGATAATCAGGACCGCGCTGCCCATTGCATCGAGTGGGGTGGGTAGTGATAAGTGGGCTACTGCTCAGATATCCCAACCTTTGTTTAACTCTTTATCTTCCGTACCCAACCCTCTTCCTTTACCCTTTCTTCCAACCCGTAACATTCCTTCAGATAACTTGTTTGTCACTCGCCAAAATTTGTTGCCAAGTAGCTCGGTAAGTAGTTTACCACAAAACAGATTGCATATTCTAAAGCTTCGTCAGCCACTGAATCCGGGGGCCTTCAACGTGAGGACACTGATGCAGGTAGGTCAACAAGCATGTCTGGCGCGTACAATGGACTCTTTGGGGACTGATGTCTGCTGCGTGTCGGAGACTCGAATCCAGGATCCTAGTACTATATAGTACTAGTACTATATACCACTTAAGTGCCACGGGTGGCGTCTACAACATCAAATCACGAGGAGCCTCAAGACAGACCGTGAGAACCGGTGGACAACGATAGCTAGTGAAATAGAAGTCGCAGCTGCATCTGGGATTAATCAGACTGTTGCAACTGATACGCAATACAGGAGGTCGGTGAACCACAGTTAGTGAAACAATCTGCGACAAAAGTGGGCAAGCTATTCACAATAGGGAACAACGATTTGACCGGTGGGCGGAGTAGTTCAACGAACAGTTCAGCTGGCCAGGTGCTAACCAGGCTATCTCCGATGTAGCTGAGGCTCCATGGGCAGTGTCATCTGAACCTCCGACTGCAGGTGAAGTTCGTCCTTGCATCCAAGCCCTGAAGAAAGGAAAAGCAGCTGTGTCGGACGGGCTTCCTCCCACTCTTTTCAAGATGGGAGTGATGGCCTTGTAGACTCCATTACTGATTTAATGCGTAACAGCTGGCTACAAGAGCGCATTCTATCATCCTGGAGCGAATCACTGATCGTTCGAATTTTTAAGAAGGGATCTCACAATAACTGCGCAAACCACCGTGGATTATGTTTGATCCCAATCGTCACCTAGTTACTAGCCTCCATTATACTTCGACGTCTGACACCGTTTAGGGGGATAAACATCCGCGAACAACAAGCGGGATTTCGACCAGGTCGCGGTTGTATCGATCAAATCTTCACCCTGCGTCAAGTCCTCGAGCTACGCCATACGCACCGTCGATCAACGGTTGTCGTGTTCTTTGACCTAAAAGGAGCCTTCGACTCAGTTGATCGTGAATCCCTTATGGGTTCACTTTTTCGCAAGGGAATGCCGCAGAAGTATGTGAATATACTGAGTTCACTCTACTCACATACTTCTGGTAGCGTGAGGGTCAACGGCGAGCTGAGTAGGTCGTTTGTAATTAGCAGCGGTGTTCGTCGAGGGTGCCCTATTTCGCCATTCCTGTTCAATTTCGTCATAGACGAAATACTGGAGAACACACTGAGTGGTCTCCAAAATGTAGGTATTGAATGGGCAGCTGGAGAAAAGCTGTGCGATTTGGAGTACGCTGACGACATCGTTTGCTTGTTCGAATGCATGGAGGATGCACAAAGAGCACTTGACCGATTATCAAGTTCTCTTGCTCC